GGTGCAGGGGCTCTGTCCCGTGCCGCTGCTTTCCTGCTGTGCCCAAATTACAGGAATTGTTGCCCGGGGATTTGCACCGTTTAGCGGACCGCCCGCGCAGGCTGGCGGAGCGTGGGGCTGGGATCAGCCTGTTCATGCTCAACGCTTCCCTTCAAAGCGCCCAAAGCTCCCCCGCACCTCGGTCTGCAAAGCACCCAAAGGTGCATGGCCAGGTTTCGGCAGCATGGGGTCACCGGGAGGCTGAGCCTCTGAGGATGGGGACCAGCAAGGAGAGAGCTTTTTCTGCTTGTTTTCTGCAGAGGGATGATCCCAGCAAGCCTCAAAGCCTTCCTGCCACCCGCCATTTGAAATACTGCGCCTATTATTAAGGATTTAAGCGGGTTGTATCCTGGGAAGAGAGATCTGCGCTGGGAAAAGCGACTTGGCCTTGAGCAGAGACTGCGGCTGCGCCGGGCTCGCCGGGCCCGGGTGCGTCGGGGCCGAAAGCTGGCAGCGGTGAGAAGTGGCAGGAGAGCAAAGGGAAACGGAGTAGTTAGGGCTTATGGAGTGAAATGCAAAAAGAGGGAATGAAGAAAATGGGATTTGAAAAATTAATGCCTTGGAGATTATCAAGATGGAAATCCTTGTGGCTCAGTGCAGAAACTGATCTCCAAAAGCGGTGCCCCCGCGCGGGGGGTACTGATCCGGGGTATGCATGTGTAAATGTGTTCTCTCCTATACAGGTGAATGCTTGGGGTCATCCCTCAAAAGCACCTGAAACCCTACTGATGTGAAACAAATTATTTTCTTGCTCTCAGTTGCTGCTGGGAGCAATATCTGCTGTGGGGCTGGGACATAGAGCAGAAATATCTGGGGAGGCCACGGGGGTCTTTGGCTGGATGCTCCATGAGGTTGAGCACCCTGGTCCAAAACCATCCCAAAGGAGTCCTCGCTCCAGGAGTGCGAGCTCGTTATCGGCTGGCGTGAGCCTGCTTTGCTGAGCTTGAAGCGAGTCCTTGCGAAGGAGTTTGCATCTTGTGATTGTAGAGGGTTGTTTTTATTTGTCTTTATTTTTCTTAACCTTTCCCCAAGAGGAAAATGCCAGGCGTGCAGGTTTCCAAGTGGGTTTCTCATCGGCAGGGCCATCGGGGTTTTATTTTAACTGGTGTGGCAGTGCCCAGCTGGGTCCATTGGCCAGACCCCAAAACCCGGCTGGGGGGAGGTGGAGGGAAGCAGCTCCAGCGAGCCCTGCGCCGTGCTGCCATGCAGGAGGGGTTTGCTGGGCAGCTCTAAACACGGCACCGGCCCCGAGCAGAGCCCGTGTGGCTACCTGGGGACTCGAGGGACGCCCACATGGCCACCATCTGGAGGGGTCAGCAGCAGCGGGCGAAGCTCGGGAGCCGGCGCTGCGCTGGTGGGGTCGCGTGAGCCTTCGCCTTGCGCAGGGGCTGAGCTGGTTTGGAAACGGGCTGCTGCGGGAGGATTGCGCGGGCAGGCGCGGCGGCTGGGGAGAGCTGCGGCCGCAGCGCGTGAGCGGCGCCGGGCTGGGGCTGCCGGGGAAGCACCGCATCGTTCTCCTCCAGTGCCGGCAGGGAGGGCCGGGAGCAGGGGCGCGCGGCTGCTGCGGGCGGGGGGGAGCTCTAACCCATCTTGTTAGAAAGCAGAAAGTCTCTCTCAAACGGATCTCCCGTTTCCCATCCACCTGCCTAGCCGGGACAGATTTCTTGCTTTGTAATTACTTTTTGAGTACCTGCAGGATCTGGTATCCAGGCAACTTGACGCCTCCTAAATCCTCTTGCAAATCTGTTTTTTCTGTTGATTTTTTTAAGTGTTGGAGAAACATCAGCCAAACACTTAAGGCAGAATCTGCTTTCCCCGCGGCTATTTCTCTTCCCCAAAGTCTGCTGGGCAGACGCGATGCCATGGCAGCGTTTTGGGGGTTCGGGCATGTGGTGCGGGAGACCCGCCCGCGGGGCTCC